AAACACTCAGGGCCTTCATATCCTCACTAGTTCGAGGGAAAGACACAAACGGGGAAAGTCTGAAGAAACAATTGACTGTCACCACCAGGACTCGAACCAGGGACCCTCACTTGTAGCTAGCGATGCTCTAACAACTGAGCTATGGTGTAGTCGTCTTCATATCCGTTTCCAATTTGGGATTATGGTATTTGAGCAAGTTATATTTGGACTTGGTGATTAAAAACGTAGATGTCAATACGTGAACATTTGGGAATGGTTTTGGGTACTTGGCTTTGCATCTTATCTGCATATTCGCACCCCAAGAAAGGAAACAGAAAAAAGTGACTTGATGATAGCCTGGACGCTGAAACTAGTCCTATACCGTCGGTACATTGACGATTGTATTCTTGTTTGGCTTTTCGGTGTCACAGCGCTCCTAGCGTTTGTTGAATATCTAAACTCTCGCCACCCAAACATTACCTTCACTGCCGAATACACACAAGCTGCCAACTCCAACACCATAAGCTATGTGGACTTTTCCAACTCGACGTCTGGTGGCAAGCTTGATTGGGAGTTGTTCGTCACGCCATCCCATAGTTGTGTGCATTTGTCGCATCCATAGTCTTTACCAATACAAACGAAAATCGCGGTCGCAAAAAACCAGTTCAAAAAGGCAATTGACAACGCCACAACGAAGGCTGGAAGACAACGAGGCATTCAGAAGATCGCCAAACTCCAGTGCGAGAACAACTACACCAAACATCATTCACACAGCCTGGACGCACTTATTAAGGTTATCAAAGGTATACTCGATTGGCACACATTGTGATGAAGTTGCCTTCTTTCCAACACCATTCATACTGCCATTTGCTGCACATAGAAGGAGGCACTGGGTCCATCTTCCCGTCCTACTCTGCTGATGTAGATAAAACCTTGTCCAATTCTTTGCATTTCAAGTGGCTTCATTGTTCCCTTCTTTTCCATCTTCCTGTTTGTTTCTTTTATTCTGCTTATGCTCTGAACAGTGTGAGCGAATGCTAGGGAGCTTGAATATTTGCATTCTCCTGGTGCCGACGCAGATAGGCGTAAATAGCACTACATAATATGTGGTTTCCCTGTGCTTGACGCATACATGTTAGCTTTTCCTCCGGCCAAGGCTGCTCAGCTGCGGCCTCAGCCGTACGCCTACTTCAATGACGCAAATCACCCAATGAGCAAGCCGGTCCAGAATGCGGTGAGCAAACTTCACACGGACATTGCGGAAATTTCACTGGAGCAGCCCCCATCCAATCAGGATGAGTCACTGCCTAGTAGGATGATTGTGGTTGTGCAGCATTTCTGTTGCCCGTAATTGCTTGAGTGAAAGTACTTGTTCTACATCTTGTTGATAATATCTCTCCAGTCCACTATTTTTACCATACCGGTATTAGCCCAGTGAAGAGCTCCAGCAATAAGATGCTATATTGGAACAGGACTGCCTCAGATAGTACATCCTCCCGGGTAAGGCGGAGATGCAAGTGCAGTCTTGAGCTGGAAGTCAATGGTTATTCGAAGATCTGCGGGCTTGAATTCCGGAGGACGGTCGAGAACCTTGTGATGCCCACCCTGAGCAACGCCGGCCAAGATAACCTTGGAGACAGCCACAAAGCTCTCGCAGACGCATTCCGTTGTGACTTTAGACCCTTCATAAGCACCACAGAAGCCCTCAACAGAATGCTTGGCAGGAAGAGGAAGGCCCCCCTGTCAGATGTCTACTTGTTATGATACACATGACGTATGATATCTAAGTGAGTGACATTCAAGTTGCGGCAAAAGACGAGAGAAAACATTTCGACCATGGGCAATCATCAGTCAATTCACCGATGATATCAGGCCAACAGCAGAAGAGTTTGAAATTTCTCTAGCTGTTGCTGGTACATTGTTTGGTTGTGCAAAAGAGTGTGTCAGAGTAGAACCAAGTGTTCAGGGTAACAGTTAGGATATGAAGGTGCCTGAGGCTACACTGGTCACATTGCTTCCATTTGTGCTAAAACGGTGTTCCCTGAAATCAACAACTCAACCAAATTCTTGTTCTTTTCCTCCCTTCTTTTCTACCTGATATTTTTAGAAAACACCCACTTACTGTATACGGCAGAGATGTTATGCCTGCTTCTTGCACGCACCTTTGTGTTTTGGTCAAGTTCGAACATCTACACTCATACATGTATCTCTCCTATCTTTACCAAGCAAGCATCACGTGATGCTACACCAGAAACGCGAGAACTGGACACCCAAACGGGACAGTCCACAGCGAGGCGGTGGATTACGTGAGAACTCACAGCGTCCGTCCGATGCAGCACTTGGCCACCTTGGTCTACTGGGCACCCTGTGGGTGAGGTTTAGTGGAAATACTGCAACCTTTGGCCAATTTTGGTGGGAAAGTGACATAATACAGATCTATGCCCCTTGCCCATTGAACCGTATGTGATTTCAGGGACGTCGGAAGGTATTCTAGTCTGACGGTACGGTCAGCCATCTGAAGTACAATTTACTGGTGTGGGAGGGGTGGCTGAGCAGAAAATTTGGGAAATTTAGAGCCCAGATGAGTGTATTTTATTGATTTGCAGTGTACCAGCTGGGGCAAAAAGAGGTACGGTCAATGCCGTACCGTTTCCGACGCCCCTGGATTTAGAGTTAAGGATATTTCCAAGTTATGGGCAGGGTCCAGCCCTGGACCGCCAGTTAAAGGGAGGACAGCAGCAAAGGTGATGTTGGATGTACAGCGGTGGCAAGGGAAAAGTAACCCCAAAAACACGAATATCAGCTCCGGAACCGCACTGCCCTGGCACCACAAGTACAAAAAGCAGGTTTCTGTATTCACGAGGTTGAAACTCACTCGCAAACTCTGAGCTACTGGATTGACGGGCCAACTGCACGTACCTCATCCGTAATCTTTGGGTCCACACCAGCGCACATGAGGTCCTGGGCCAGGTTGTAGCATTTCTTCAACACGGCCAAGTGCAATGCCGTCTTGCCGTCCTGCAAGCAGAGAATCATTGCAGCGATGAGCAAGGCACCGGTCTAATACGGCGTGCTGAAGATAGCAGCTTGGACTTCAGATAAAAAGTTACCATGCAATCACAAGTGAAAGGTCATCTGCAAACAAGCATCAGATATTATGTTCGGCATAGTGTATAGACTGGTTTTGATCTATGCAGCCAGGTCCTTGGACAAGGTCCTTTGCGGTCACGCACGAATACCTAAGACTGCCCTGGCAATTGCACGCCCCAGCTATCTTTTCTCTCCATGCGGGCCAGTAAATAGCAATCAACCTTCTGATGTAAAGGAAAGAAACTGGTCAAGAGAAACGGGGGGGGGGGGGTCTTTCTACACCGGCCTGAGTGGTCTAGGCGTATGCGATCCGTGGCCTGAAAGAAGAGGTCGAGTCTCTGAGGACAAGCAGTGTCTGCCTGGCCTAAACACAGGTTTTACTGTAGGGATGGCTCACGTAGGTGCAAGCAGCCAGACAAGCTCGTACAAAGCCAATATCCAAGTACCTTGTTCTTTAGGTGAAGATAGTCGAGTTCTTCCAATGCAGGCTTCATAGCAGCATCAACGGTAGCTGCAGTAGTTGGGGTAGCAGCGCGTAGACCACCACAGGCAGTAGCATCCGCAGCTGCAGCAGTAGCAACACCAGCACTAGCTCGGTTGCCACTGCTGCCAGCAGCATGGGCACCTGCACGAGCACCAGCAGCGCAAGCCGTCTCAAGATTTGCAACGCTCCACCGGTTGCTGACCTGATGATTAACACAGACAAATGCAAACCCGTCCTCTGTGACATATCCAGTCAACACTGACATAGTTGCTTTCAGACTTATGCTGTGGCTGGATAATTGTGCACGATCAATTTACAGCTCACGTGAGAGTCTATCGAACAGAAAAGCTGCATGTGTATGAATGGCCGGGAGGAGAGGAGAGAAAATAAATGACACAATAGAGACAAAGAAATGAACAGCACACAAATGTACCTTCGCCTTGACACCTCTCTCCTTGCTGGCATGTATCAGTACACTTGCAGCGGCGGAGTTGCCGGTCTCCGCACACAAATGCAACACCGTCTCATTGTCCTGGTGGGAACAAAGAAAACGTTTATGATGCCCTGATGTTAGTACTTGGTCCGTTTCATCGCAATTGTCGCTTATCTATCGCAACTAAGAACAAGAGTTATTTTATCGCTCTGTAAAATTTCCAATACGCATAGTGAAGAAGCATGATACAGGATACCTGTCCGCCACAATAAAAATTATTCAGCGATGGAATCTGATGAAGCAAGTCGAGAAAGGAAGCAAGGTTACAAAAAATGTACAAAATAAAACAGCGACGGAGCGCGTTCTTGCACTCGCGCTTTAGTTTATCCGACTCTGGCTCTGTATCACTCGAGCTGATGTCACTTGAGCTGACATTCGCTGGTGTGTATAGCTGCTGGCGCCATGGCGTAGAGTATATCTTGCTTTCTCCGCTTTGCGTATGGCAGCGATGGGAAAGGAACAATCGTGGCTGTCACTCTGGCACTTGGAGGAACGTGGGCAGCGTGACCCGTGTGTCACCACTGTGTGTTTCAACAATGTTTTTGAATCAGGCACACATCCCTCACCAGACAGCTGTCATACGCTCTGCTGGATACGCTGACCACGACTCTTGTACTGCAGCTGCCAGGTCGGACAATGTCTTCTTTGCCACCAATTCGCCATCAGTTTGCAGGCTTGCAAAGAGTGCCAGGTCGTCGCACTTGCAGTTCAAACGTGGCGACTGAGCTGGCTGGCCTGGCCGTGACTGTCACGCTCTCAAGGTCAGGATGTCGATTTCCCCTGCTACAGTTCCGGTCTTTGAGCTGCGTTTGGTTTTTCGCTGCAGTGAATGTGTGCATTCACTGCAGCGAAAAGTTCCCCACTTTCCCAACACCATCGTACGAATCGCGATGCCACTGGCGCTAGTCGCGATGGTTTTTTCTTTCTGGTCTCCTTTGATCTTGCCTTCACAACCTCCCAAACAAATGGGAGTTAGATATCGAGATCGGGCTGGGATTTACCTGTCAAAAGGTGCTTGGGAGATAAGCGACAATTGCGATGAAACGGACCAAGTAGGCATAGGCTAGCTATTTTCGTTGATTGGAAGGGTTCAACATCCTCATTACCTGCCACTGTTGAGCATGAGGTCATGGAACAAGAATGCCCAGGAGTATGCTCGACGTAATACACAGGGCCATGTGCATCCCCAAGAGAGTTTTGTGTACATGGAATTTACACGCAGGGTTCCAGCCAACGGAGGGTAGGGGGTGCAGCGCCTTCCTACTCTGATTGAGCCCCCCCCCCCCTCCCTCTGTGAAAAGTGCACCCCACTCATTTGTCGATTTTTTCATGTCATTCAGCGAAAATGCAGTTGATCGTCACCACTAGAAGGTTCATAAAGGCACATTTGTCTGGGATGAAGCACTTTCGCACGGCAAGACAATTTTTGAAAAAGGAAAATGGGGAACGATAAAGCAGGGTGAGTGAAGAATGGAAACTACAGTAAATCTTTGGTGTGTATCAGCTCACCAGCAGCCATACAATTGAATATCTCTAAGGAGAGCCAGGAGCCTCATGCTTGCAGTGTAACACCAACATCAGTGCTACCCTGGCCGATCTTTTTTTACATTTTGTTCAACCCAACTCCTGAGCTCTTACAGCCTAAAAATCTAAATGTGCAGAAGTCAGAAGATGGATGAATTTTGCAGCACATTGTTTTTTATCCCTTTCAAACATCCAAGTAAATGCAACAAGATGTGCAGATGAGAAGTACAATAGTAATATTCTGCGGTTACTTTTCCATTACCTTAGTCAATTCCCAAAGATTCGCACCCGCAGAGACAAGCAACTCCAACAGTCCGCTGTGTCCATGCTTGGCCGCAATGTGCAACGGCGTTAGACCCTCCTGTTACACAACACAAAGGCGGGTCAAGTCTTCTCTCAGGAATGTACCAAGCATTGTTAGTACAGCATCAGTCTTTGTCTTCCTTGGCATTCTTAACCCTTTACCGGCAGCCCCATACTTGAATGCGTCGTAAACGACGCATTCGACATACATACTAAAACCATGCCTGGTATGACAGGAAGCATCAGCCCACGGGGATTTCCCGTGGCCCTCACACAGCCTAGGTCTGATCCTATCCGTAGCTGAAGAGATCTACGCGTGTCCCATTTGATTTCATTGAGAACTGCGCGATCGAAAACTTACGGAAATACACGCGCGCCGACAATGCCGTCTGCCTCCGTCAAAACGTCGTCAGATGCATTTCCTCTTGCGCCGTGAATTCCTTTCGTCCTCAGATGACTTCTCCGACGAGGACCTAGCAGACCTTCGCTCTGGGACCGACGACAGATAGATAAATACTTCGTTCCAGCCGCCGATGCAAGCGAATTTCAAATTGCGGAGCGGAGCGCACGCCAAGTAAATTCTCACGCAAATATCGGGAGCACCAGCCGCTGAAGACGATGTCGTCGTGATGTACCTGGAAGAATCTGATGGTGCTTATGGTGGGAAAGCCATCGAGAGTGATCCCCGTGTCGACAGTCTCCCAGAGACGGAATTTTAGGCCATCGACTTTCTACGTACCTGAGTGACGGCAGCGCAGCGCGACTTGCGCACGACCTTACGGAGCCGTCGGACAGCGATTCTGGGGCGATGCTGCTCTGAATTGCGAGCGAAGCACGGCCACTGAAGTTTCTGATGGCTATGGTGTTCGTTTCCGCTCCGAAGTCGACTTGTTTTGGCATTATCATGTCAATGTCGGAATCTGACGATTTGCACGATGTACAATTTCTGTGTTTAGACGTATAGGTGCCAATTTAGCAGCGTATGTTTGTGGTATGTGAAAATAAATTTTCCATGGTCAAGAAGTAGTACCAGACTTCCAAGAAAATATAACTTGCACATACAAAATGTGCCCTCGTTGTGAGTTATTGGCATCCTTCTCAATGTTATGGATTTCATATACAAAATGCACTTGCCGGCAAAGGGTTAATTTGCTATGGGGTCAGCAAGACAAGGCAGTCAAAAAGCCAAGGGAACACCAGTGGACCAGCAGAAACCGGGCAAGGTAGGGTTCATTTTAGGGCTGCAACGAATATTCTATTTCACAAACGAAAGAATACTCATCCATAACGAACGAATAACGAATATTCTCTCAAAATGCTGAATCATTTCTAAGAACTAAATCGTTTTTTTTTGTAAAGGAATCAAATATTCTATACCAAAAGAATCTTAGAAAGACTTTGGCTAGTCTCCAGTTGTTCTAGACCAAGTACAATGTAAATGTCTAGTGGAGTCATGTCCAATACTCCTGTGAGTCATAGTCCCCTTTCTCAACACATAACACATGTACATATCACTCCATCCGTTCAAGAATTACTACGATAGATCGACACAAGAGCAGAGTGTGCGCACGTGTCAAAACGAACGAATATTCTAAAGGGGAAAATATTCCTTCCATCGGGCTCCTAACAAATATCAATCGAATATTCGAATATTCCTTGCAGCCCTAGTTCATTTCCAAGTGGGCAGTGCATTCAGTACCAAATTGCCAGTACAGTGTCAATCTCTTTACCACACAGTCGCCATAATCTCTGGCTTACCTGATCCGCCACACATGGGCTAGCACCAGCCTCAAACAGGATGATGGCGATGTCCAGTGAGCCCAGAATCGCTGCGCAGTGCAAAGGAGTGGTCATATCCTGTGCAAAACATTGCAATCAGGAAACAGGACATGAGCATGGGTGTCAAACTGACCCGGTCGATCTGTGAAGTGATGAGATCCAACGAGACTTGATCCCAACATCTCGTCAGTGTAATCACAGAGGCTTCAAAGTATGGTGGTACCTTTGTGCCAATAGCAACGTCTGCATCAGCGTCAACCAAGATACGGACAACCTTGTGATGGCCATTGTGCGACGCAAAGTGCAACGCTGTGGAGCCATCCTACAAACACAGAAATCACAGGCAAAAACAAGAGGACAGTACATACAGGACTTGGTACACAGCACAACTGCATATGGTAGACACCTCCTGAGGCCAGAAAAGTCCACTTTGAGAGCACTTTTCCCAGTCCCACCAGTTTGAGGATAGGATGCTAGCGAAACGCGGGTCCAGGTCACCTCGCAATGCAGGGCTCACAATCGTGCCAGATATCGCGGTGTGTCTATAGTTCATAACTTTGTGCGGCGAACACACTATGATTGAGAAACCTGCAAAGCCCATCTTTCTTGTGTGTCAATGATCCGAGATGCAAAAACTCTGAATTTCTAGAACGGGTATATGGTACACACTACTCCTTATCAACTTTCACATGAATTTCAGCCCATGAAATCCATGCCGGTTCATGAGGGTAAAATGGAGTGATGGGAGGCTGAAAAAACAAATTAAAATTGCAAGTATTAAATGGGCTAGTAGAAGGACTGGTTTTTGAATACGAAAAAAGCATTTCCCCACACCCCAGGACCAGGACACAGCCTGTTCGGGAAGAGAAACTAATATGGCAATAAGGCGCCATGAATGTGTGTAATCCCCGGCAGCATAATCGGTAGGGCAGCGCTCCGGAAAGAGGGGCGAGCCGGGCTCGTATCCCAGCTGCAGGTCCATCTTTTGCATCACACCGTACAGGAATGGCCTAGTTTCCAGTCCCTTGTCTTCAGGGGCGTTGGAAGGTGTTTTAATGTGGTACGGTGAGGAATCTGAAATACAATTTACTCGTGGGGGAGGGGTGGCTGAGCCGAAACGTTTGGATATTCAGAGCCCAAATCAGTGCATTTTATTGATTTACGGGGTACTTGGGGCGACGAGTGGTACGGTCAATACCGTAGTGACCGTAGCATGTGCGACGCCCCTGCGTCTTAAATGTATTTCAGTCCAACCATTGTCCAACCTTAAGTACATTGTTAGGTACTGTAATTAGAGATCAATCAATGCAAACATGATGCATTGCCGTTTTCTTTACCGTACCAGCCTTCATCAAAGCCACGTACTATTGTCTGGGCGTTGACGTCAGCCCCACAGCAGATGAGCTTCTTGATCACTGGAATGTGACCACCTCGTGACGCCAGGTGTAGCGGTGTCGAGCCATCCTGTACAAATGTGCATCCATAAGGCTTAGAATTATGCCAAAGGCAATTAAAAATGTTCTTGCTAACACCATTCTGTACCCAATTCCAGTAAAGTAGTAGAGAGCTCTGGACAATACCTGCTCTGAACAGACAAACGGACTTACAGCAGTATCCCTGCTTCCCTAAACAAAGAAAGATAGGAGGCCTATATGGCTACAAGGCATAAAGCAGAAATGACGCCTTTCGACATTCTTGCATGCTCCCAACAATGAAGAGTATCAAATGATTTTCACAAGTAAACTTTAATGCCTTCTCTTCAGGTGAAATACAGACAAGAGCAAACGAGAGCAAACGAGAGCAAGAACAATGGATTATGTACTGCAAAGACTTGATAAAGCAGCGCGAAGAAGAATAGCTAAAAACAACAATGATCAATGCGTGACCCATACTACATAGAAAGAATGGAAAACAGGTGCTAGCGTGAAGAAACCTACTAACAAGCGTGAAATGTAGTGCGATGACCATAGACAACCATTGGACGCAACTAGCGTGTTGATGATGACCTGCAATCAGCCTAAGTGTGAATTTGATCTGCTTCTGCTGGCATAGATAAGGTTTCTTAGTGTGAATATATATACAGCTTCCAAACATTGAACAGCTTAGCACTGTGCACACGTGTCAAAAGAGAGAATCATTCATCTGAATACACAGCACGGCATTCAGGATACTCAAACAAACGACTAGCAAATGACGACTCATACTTCTCAAAGGAGCACGGAGCACAACGCAGTCAGTACAAATAGACACCTGCATTCTGGCAGCCACCTGTCCAAAGAACTCACTCAGATGTCACTGAGTCAGGCTGAGAACAGCACTGGTCTTTTACTGTAAGTCCACAAATTTTC